CCCCCCCCCCCCCCCCATAAAGACTCTGATTGTGAGGGGATATACTCGGTTTACTCTAGAAATAATGTCACAGGTATGTTCATTCACTTTCTATAGAGCTAGTAAAATGAAAGCATCACATAAAAACCCATATCAACACAATATAATCATGTAACAGTTGGAAGGAAATAGGCAGAAAGTTAAAATCCTAGTGAAAACGCAAAAATAATTTTCCACAAATCTTCATTTTTAGCAGGATCAAAGCTTAAGAACTGTTTATGCTGGAATTTACAGAAATTATCCATATAGACTATAGACACTACCGCAAGATAATTTATATTTGAGTTGTTAAACAAACATTTTCCCAGACGCTTACGTTGTTGAAGAGAACCACTCATAAGCCTATTTGAGCCTTGAATGTTCAAGTTTCCAGAACCACTGTTAGAATTCAAATTCAAACGAGATGCCAGCCCAGGAACAGACAGAACACCAGAGCTAATGTTTCTTCCCATGTTACTACCACCGACTATATTTCCAACTGAGCTTGACATCCTAGGCACTGGAGACACCCCAAGTCCAGGAACTGCATTTCGATTGCCAATAGCACCTGATGTTGGAAGGATTCCTGGAATCGAACCACCAACCCCATTTGTATTGCTACTATATCCTGTATTCCCCATAACACTTAAACCACCTCTACTTGTCATCCCTGTATGAGCATGTGAACTTCCATGAGATATCTGCACACCAGTAAGAAATGGAATGATAAGAAACCTCTAACTAACCAATGCTTCAAAAACAACACTGTCCATTAAAACATTCTCTGAAAGAGTAAGAAAACTTTCATATACAAGTCAAACAATCTGTTACAATCTCATTGAATTAAAGCAAAGAGCTTAAAAGAACAAGGTGGCTAATCAGCTATTTGGATAAATTTAAGCACACTCACAATGGTGCCCTGCACAACCTCTGGGCACACCAGAAACATACCTGTGAAATAGCAACTGGCAGATTGTTTGATGCAAAACGGCCACTAGAAAGATTGTTCCCAGACTGTTGGACACTGCTTGAAGGCATATTCATGCTTGTGTTCCTTGATCCAAGTGTACCTGGCATGCTGGGAACGTTGAAACTCCCATGAATATTGTGCAGTCCCTGCACACTTCCTGCAAAAGAAGTTAAAAGACTTTTCTAATCAGCAATATATAAAGCAAAAAGAGATAAAAATCCAAAAACAACTGACCAGAATGATGATAAGCAGGGGATGCT